AAACGCTGTATAAAAACAGAAAATTTAACTGAAACAGAAACATTAACTGTATAAACAACATACTTAATTTATATTAAAATATATTAACTTTATTCCTCTCCATCTCTCTCTCTCTATTAGGTCGGCCATAGACCACTGCGTGGCAGCCATAGCATATCGGATCTAAGTCTAGCTGCGAACTTCGATGGATCGCGCAGCGCGGGACCCTCGCGCTATACGAAGCCAGGTAAGCATCGGGCTCTTGAGTCAAGTTAGTAGATGGCTTTGATGTATTATTCCTGAAATGAGTTAAATGAAACGTAGGCTAATCCGTCAACTCTTACAATACGCTGCCTCGCCCACTCTCTCTCTCTCTCTCTCTTTTTCCATTTCTTTGTCTCTTGTATCCCCATTGCGCTCACTGCGGCCCGAAATGTGTTGGTAAAACTAAATCGTTTGGAAACGAATCTTGAATGTGTGTTTTCTGTTTGTTGCTTTTGCTTTTGTTTTGTTTTGTTGCCATTTGAACTTGTCGAATAACCCCTCCAGTTGATTCCCCCGATAATTCACAGTATATTAGATCAAATGCGGCAACTGCTGCGCAACAGCAACAGCAACAACAACAGCAGCAGCAGCAGAAGCCGCCTCAACAACAATATCCTCAGCCCTACGGCTGCCCTGTGCCGCAGTTCTTTAACAGCGCCGCCTCCAAGTCGAAGCTGCAGCAGAACTTTCAGACCATGCGCCAGGTGCAGCAGCACTATCCGCCCTATCCGCATCATGTGGGCGTTCACCAGATCCATCCGCCGCCGGGCGTGCCCTTTAGCCATGGCCCCGGCTCGTATGTAACGTCGAGGCAGGCCACGGCGCAGACCACGCCTCGGCCGAGTGCTGCCAAACGCAATCCGGCGGGCAACAATCGTCGCACGCCGAGCATTCTCAAGCACTACAAGTCGTGTCCCGTATCGCCGGTGCACGAGGAGGTGGAGTGGTCGATGGAGGCGGAGCGAGCGGCGCCAGTGGAGCCCAAGCGGCACTCGGTCTATGCCGACGATGCGCGCACAATTCTGGACATGATTCATGCGGACACCGAGAAGATGATCGATGAGATAACGCGCAAATACGGCGATCTCGATGAGCCCGCCAGATACCCCGCGCTGCCCGCCTCCTGCTCCATGCCGGCCAATCTGCGCGCCCTGGACAGCGCCAGCGGCAGATCGACGCCAACGGCGACGCCGCCGCGCGCGCAGTACTACGTCTACCGAGAGATCTATCAGTGCGAGCGCAAGGTCTCGCTCTCGGACATACTGAAGCCGGAGCAGTTCGCCGACACCCAGCAGCGGCTCGAGGAGGCGCGCTTCCTGGAGACGCAGCGCCACTCGAGCGCCAGCTTCTTCCTGAGCAGCTCGGGCCAGCTGCCGCATGAGCTCAGCCAGGAGTCGCTGCTCTCCGATGGCGGCAGCTACTGCAACAGTCTCGAGAGCGTGCTCTCTGACGAGAGCGACTGCAAGAGCGCGCCGCTCGATCCGCCCTCGCTGGAGCCGCACCGGCCGCTGCAGGCGATGCAGTGCCATGCGGGCATACGGAACTTCATTTTGCACGGACCCGTGTCCAAGTCGTATGGCAGCAGTCCGAATGCCTACGGCAGCTTCGACTACTACATGCGGCAGGAGACGGCGGCTGCAGCCTCGGCGGCCACCTACGACAGCTTCGATGTCACTGGCTACAACCTGAAGCCGCTCACTCCGCTGCCCAGCTCGAAAACCTATCCACGTCTCGCCTCAGTGCCAGGAGGAGGAGCTGGAGCAGGAGCTGGAGCTGGAGCAGGAGCAGGTGCAGCCACTGTGGAGCACATACCCTCGATGCGCTCGAAGAACAAGCAGTACACGTCGAGCGTGAACAAGAGTCTCAGCACAGACTTTGCCCAGCAGCGGCTGCAGCAGCAGCGCAGCTCGAATCCTCTGGCGCAGTCGCAAGGGCCGCAGGGCCAGTCGGGCAATCAGCTGATGTTTGTGCGCAAGCAGCTCAAGTCGTCGAAGCCACCCATACCGGCCAAGCCGCACAATCTGGTCTCCACGCTCACGTGCAATGTGGAGAAGAGCCAGGCGGGCGTGGGCACGTCGAGGACGGCCACGGTGGTGCGACAGTTTGAGCACAATCTGCTCAAGTTCGAGCGGGAGAAGCAGCGCACGCAGCAACGCACTCAGCCCCGGCCCACGGCGTCGGCCATGAGGAATTCGGTGAGCAGCGGCGCCCTGGCGACGCACAGCTGCCTGAAGAAGGTGTCGCGCTTCGACACCAGCGAGAGCAGCCGTCGGGCCACGAGCGTGCGCCAGAAGTCGCGGCCGAAGATCAGCGTGCGCTTCAATACCGTTTCGCAAATCAAGTATACGCCCAGTGCGAAGAGGGAGCAAGCCCATCTGAATGACATCAATAGCAATGCAGTTGAGTCGGAAACGGAGACGGAGCTGGAGGCGGAGGCGGAGGCGCCTCTGGTGGGCAGTCTGCCCAGCGATTATGGTGGGGAGCGGAGCTTCGAGATGTTCTTTGCCGAGAATGGAAATGCGCCCGAGAACATGGAGAATATGCAGAGTCTGAAGCTGTATAAGAAGCCCGAGCTGCAGGCTGTGGTCGACGACATCCAGCAGGAGCGGGCCAAGCAGAAAAAGAATAGGGATAATGTGGAGCGATCGAGTGGTGGTAATGGTGGTGGTGGAGCCAACTCCACCAGCAATCAGTGCCAGGACATAGCCAAGAAAATAGACATTATTGAGAAACTGATAGCCATGGAGGAGCGCAAGATTGAGCAGATCAGAAAGGCCACCGAGACACGCTTGCGTCCCTTTGCCTGCAACTCGAAGGAAAAGGGTTACGTGAAGAGTTTGACGATGAATTTCGATATGCTGGCGCGTGCCCAGGACCAGCAGTCGCAGCTCTCCGCCGATCAGCTGGCGCCGAGTGATGCGGATCTCTGTGCGTATGCGCGTCACATACGCCGGAATTGCAGCTTGCCGGATGTCTTGGAGAGCTCCGACTTTGGCTACCATCGCACGCACAGCAATGCCAACGGCAATGGCGATCGCGATGGCGATGGCGATGGCAATGATGTGGAGCTGGCCAAGGAGGTGATTGCCGACGATGATGACGATGATGGCATCGAATTCAGGCATCGCGATGCGGAAGGTGATCAAGTGAATGCCAAAGGCGATGCTCATCAGGGGCTGATCATCGATCGTCTACAAGGTTTGAGTGCTTGAGCCTCGATGTTGTAAAATCCACACAAACATTTTTGTTTTCTCTTTCTCTCTCTCTCTCTGTTACTCTTATTGTTGCCATATAAGTTGTACTCTTCGCACACGCATATTTATTTGCTTTGTTTGCGGCACAGACTTGATTCGTGTAGCACCTGCCCCGGCATGTGAGCCCCGCCCAACTAATAACCGTCTACGCCTTACTTACAGGTAATCCCAAGTTGCTCAATCCCATACCCATTGAGGAGTCGTCCATTCGTCGCGCCTGCTCGCTGAGTGATCTGCATATGGGAAACTTTGGCAAGCGTAAGCGCAACGACAAGCTCCCCCCAGCCCCTCGCTTCAGCTCGAACTAATTCTCGCTATTCTCTCATCTCATCTGCAGCCAGCAAATCCAATGGCACGCCCCAGAAGCCAGTGGCCCAGCATCGCAACGGCAACGTGACTCGCTCGGCCAGCAAGCGGAACAGTCTGCAGGGCAAATCGGCCCTCGGCGCGTCCAGCAACTCCATGAACGTACTCAATCAAGTAAGTACTTGCCACGGGATTCAAACCCTTAGCAGCCTAACTAAAGTTGTTTGTATTGCAGAGCGATTCGGAGGCAGAAGACATCAATCGATTGCGGAGTGCGGGCAGTGGACAAGGACGCAACAATGGAGCCATTGGTGGGTATTCTGTGTGTGCTTAGAAGAATTTGCGACCAAGAGATGCTCTGTGGTTACTAAAGTAGCCATTGGTATCGATACTCTTCTATATAATATGGAATTAGCAAAACTTTGAGCATGCAATTAATCAACTCTTTTGTGCCTTGCAGCTACCTCACGACAGTACAGCAACAAAAACCCCAACACCAACAGCAATCGACGCAAGGCTCCAAGTTTCAGCAGCGGTAAATTTGTTGACGAAGTCAATGTGAAACTAGAATTAACTAATCAATCAATTTGTATTCGATGTATGCAGGCACAAACATGCAGGACGACTCCAGCTCCGAGGAGACACCCAACATGGCTGCGGGCAATAAGCCAGTGGTGCCGCCCAGGCCCCGTAATTTGGGCTTCGATCACAAGAGCAAAGTGAACAACAACGCGCCCAATGCGGCCACGCCCAAGCAACGAGCGGGAGGACTCGGGGATGACTACGAAACGGCTGAATGTGAGTGCAAGAATAGCAGCGGTTGAATACTCTAGATTAGATGAGTCTGAAATTAAGCAGAGAAGACTTGTAAATGAAGATCATGTCCTTGAGACTGACCTCTCCAAAAGCTGTACATTTCGATCAGTCACAGATAGATGAATAATAGTATTCATTATACGAGGTCTATTAATTTTGAGTTCTTTTAGAATTAGTTGTTTGTAATATCTATTGTACTCTATTCATTCCCTTATAGAATCTCTCTAAAGATTTTATGCCGATTCTCGAACATTACAACAAATTATTAAACAATTATCGAATACACGCAACTCAAGAGCCGCCTCCTTACATTGCTCACATCCTTAACTCTAAAGAACTGAGACTCTTTTATGAGCGGTATAGGAATTCTAAATGAAATTCTAAATTTCTCGATTTCTAGCTGAGGCCCTGGTGCACAATGTGATCAACAAGTTGTATACAACGACGCAGTCGGCAATGCAGCTGCATGCGAATCTGAAGAACTCGTTGTTACTGAAGGAATTGGAAAATGCTGTGATTATGTCCCGGAATATGCTTGACAGTATAACTCACAATCGGTAAAGTCGAACTGGAGCTTAAATTAATACTGATTCACTTATATAAATCACAATTTGTAATTTGTAGACAAAACGATAAATCGCCCTCGGGCCAGGGCTATAATGTTAGCAGTGGAACGGCTGGCGGCGACATTGGAGATGTTAACAATCGTGAACAGATATCAGGAACAGGCAATCTGGAGAATGGCGATTATCTTATGATGGTGAACAACTGTGCCGATCTATTGAGCAATTTACGCACTAAGCACAAACCCGACGACTGTGAGAATAACTCCTAGTGTGTAGCGTTTATATTAGGCTAAAAACAACAAATGGCAAAAGCAAACCAACTAAATGGATTAAAACCGAACTAATATTTATTAAATTTAAACTCTTCCAAAACAACACTAAAACTGGCAAATGGCAAACGACAAACTAAAATACCAACTTAATTGTAATTGATATCTATATGCTATATTATATATAAATACGCATTAATAGCTATTGTAAAGATTCCGATATATATTATTATTATTATTATTATTTTTTTTTTTTGTTTGTTTGTTTATTCTTTAGTCAGATATTGTATCTCTTAAGTAAGTCTGCGTATTTGTGAGCGTGCATTTTGTTTGGCTTTGGTCTAGATTCATTCACTTTTGTAAAGTGTGAATTGAATCCGTAGCGCTTTAAGGTCTATAAGCAATTTATATTTGTTAAGTGTTATTTGAGTTTCAATTATTTTTCTCATCCATGTCAGAAATGAAATTGGCCATAGAACTATTACAACATAAACACAAAACTGCAAAATATTTGATTTATTTTGCGATTCTTAAACTTAGAATCAAGCCAACAGACATATATATAATTCAAGAATACGTTAATGAAACATGAAATTTTGTATAATTTGTCAAGAGAAATATTATTGTATACATTATTATTCTACATACTCTGTTCTGTGTACATTAAAGTTTAATTATTTGATTGTACTCGAAACAGTTATACCTAAGCATTGAAACTAAAACTCTTAAAATTTACATATAAATATATATTCTACACTTTAACATTACAATAATTTACAACTAAACTAAAATGTATTAAAATTAACTTAACCTATTATAGAACAAAAACCCTAAAAACATTATTTATGTCCATTAATGCTATTCACTCCTACAAAAATCAAACAAAAACAAAAACTATAGATTTGTAATTTTATCGAAAGTAATACAAAAAAAAGAGCATAATTTTTAAAATATTAACATTGTATTTTCATCTTTCTTTCCGTTAGTTATTACTAAAAATAATATCAAGCTCCAGGCTGTTTGTAAATTGAATTTTACACCTATCTTCCTTCGGGGCGTAACTGACTCTAAAACTTCGTCTCTACCCAGGCAATAGAATATCACATTTGGTATATATGTGTGCACATATTACATATAAAATGTATTTTACATGTTTGGGCTGGGCAAACCCCTAATACAATTAATCACTAAACTACACGCAAACTAAACATGAATTTACTAAGAATAAAAGCGATTCCATCAATTGTGAGACTATGAAATAAAATAAATAACATGATTTTTAGCAGCACAACGGGAGA